TAGAAAGATAGGTAAGTGGTCACTTTCACATTGATCATCAGAGACGCTTCACTGAAAAAAATTGATGGGGAGCATATGGTTGTTGCAGACCCGACAGCGTGCAGTGCTGGTTTATTACGAAGTGGCCTTGTGCCAGACACTAAACTAAACTACCGAGTCCACAAGCAATGTATAAAAAGGAATGCGTGAATGAACAGAGCAGGAATGTGGTTAGTCCACACGTGCATAAATTAAAAACATTAATAAGATAGCCTGTACAGAATGACAGAAAACGACTGGATTCAAAACAAGTGTAATTTTTTTTATTAAATGGAAAAACAAGAAGCTTATCTCGTGGTACGAGATCAAGGAAAATGTTCCGCGCCAAAACCGGAAGGCAAGATGACTAAGGCGGGAAAAGTTCTTGAGGGAGAAGGTTGCAGAAAAGTCAATTTACACGGAATACTATACATACAACAAAGAAAAATACTCACTGCGAGTTTTTGTTAGTGTGAGTGTAATGTTACGTATATTTTTAAGGTACTGGTTCAAATCAGATTAGAGTTCAACGAATATGAAAAGTTCTGTTCCCTTGTTAATGACAAAGGCAGGTTCGGACAAGACGTTAGTCACTCGACGAGAAAATTCTAGCCATCCAAAGTGTGTTGTGATGACAAAGACGTACGTACTAAGTTTCTCTGATAGAAAACAGGAGGAAGTTCTTCTAAGGAGTTAGTCTTAGGTCGAGGGAAAAGGTGGCCGATAGTTGCATCGACTCGATGAAAATTATTTTGGGACGAAGAATTATTTGTTGTTGGTTGCATCGTCTTGAAGGGATGAAGAATTATTTGTTGTCAGTAAGATATCCCTGTCTGTATTAAAGGTTGACTGACGAGGGATAAATGAGTCAACTTCATGGATCGAAATTTTTAGCCCGACTGAATTCAAACGATTAGTTTGTCCGTGACGTCAAAGAAATTTCGCGGGGAGATTTCAAATTCTAGTTTGCATAACATCAGGAGCAGCAGGTAGCTTGAAGTCAACAACAAAAGAATGGCTTACTGCTATGTCTGACTGAAAGAGAAAGGAAGTGGGGTGCAAACCGTGAACGCGCGTGCGCACGCACACGCGAGTGTGGAAGAAAGGGAGGAAACTCGCGCGCGCGTAGAATGTTGTAGATGGGATAACTGTGTTATCCCATATGGTTAGGTAAATGGTTGATGTTGAGCCAGTGCCTGGGTGTAGATATGTGTGTTTTGTTATTAAGGAGGCATAGATCAAATAATTCTAGGAGATATTCTATGATTTGACCAGTCTGATTGGAGTTGTTACAGCCCCATATTTTGCTGTGTGCTTGAAGTCTCCCATTAATAGAAAGGGAGCGAATAGTTGGTAAATTAATCTTTCTATTTCAGTTTTATTCAGGCTTTCTTTTGGGGAAATGTAGATTGAACAAATGGTTACTACTTGGTGGAGTGAAGCTTTTATTGCCGTGGACTAAAGGCTTATATTTAATAGTAACGCCTTATGGGGTATTGATTTTTTGACTAATATTGAGGTACCACCAGTTGGCCTATTGTTTATTGTTGATATGTTTGTTCTGCTGTCGGTTGATTTCTTTGAGGAAGGATTCCTGTAAGCAGACTATATTTGGGCTATGGTCTGTGAGGAGTTGTCTGATTTCCTCAAAATTTGGTTTTATGCTGTATAATGCTTGTCATCATATTTTTAAAAAGGTTTTTGTCATGTTATGCTATTTTGTTTATGATGTGTTGGAGGTGTAGGATCCATTTCGATTTACATTTGATTAAGTTTTTTAGACTTCCCTTTGTTTGGTTATTTTGTGTTGGTGTTTGTTTTTTTCTCTCATTCTTGAGATAGGTCTATATTTTACTGATTTGGGTTTCATTCGTTTCCTTTTCTTCAGTTATTCGGGTATCATTTAATTTGGTAGGGAGATAATTTCCATATTTGTTATGCTGGTTTTTAAGGCTTAAGTTTTTGCAATTCATTTATTAATGGTATTAATTGTGTATCTATTTTTGTTTTTCCTAGATTTTCATTGAAATTTGATAGGGTCTGGTGATTTTTACAAAATTTTGTATCGAAGTTTCTATAAGTTTCATTGCTTCTGGGAATGGAATGGAATGGTGAGTGGTTTTTGTTCATATTATATTTTCCTTTTTCCCAGGGCTTGCATTCTTTAGCATCAGCTCTGTGATTGTAGTTGCTACATTTTGGATTATTTTTACATGTTGTTTTTTCATGGCTTGCTTCTGTGCCCCCACATTTTGCACCTATTTTTCCTTAACATGGCCATATATTTGACATTTGTGACGTCTCGGATTTGGTATATATATATCTACTTTGGCTATTAAGTAGCCAATTTAAATTTCAGTTGGTGGTGTGGGTGTGTTGAAAGTTAATATATGTATTTGTGTTTGTCATCTGGTTTTGTTTTTAATTGTTATCCTTTTGACGTCAATCACATTTCTTTTTTTAAAACTCAGATTTTATCTCTCCCATGGTACAAACTACTATTATGAACTACACTTCTGGAGGTGCTTAGTCTTTCAAATGGGTATGCTTTTACACTAATGTTATGGATTTTTAAAAAAATCTTTAACAGTATGCTCGCATGTTTTTTATTAGATATTTCTGCTAGAATGGTTCCATTTTTTTAAAGTTTTTACTGACTTAAAATTTACCATTGAGAATAGAACCCTCTGTATCAGAAACGGTGATAATTTAGTTAGCAGGACCACTTCTCTAGATTCCAATATTATGAATCTAGGAAAGCAGCCTGATCTTGCTCCGAATCTGACTCCGAATCTATCTATATAATGAAATTATGTTTAACTAAAAGTGCTCACCATCCACCACGGAGTCCTACAAGGCGAAATGTTAAGAGGGAAGTCCATTTGCCTTGGCAGATCGGGGCTATACAGTGTCAGTATACTCACAATATGACGAAGCAATTGTTTTACTTTCAAAATCTCAGGAATAGTTTGAAACAATTGTCCCTTCTTAGCATGATTGACCCTGTATCCACCACCTTATGATTCAGCCTTTTCCAAAGTTTGCAGGAATCTAAATCAGAGCTTGCCATGGCTAGCCAGTTGATCAGATCATATCTCTCCAACCACATGTCTAGCCCAGGTAAGAGCCAAAGTGATGTGTTGGGGTTCAGGAATTAAAACATCCCTCCTCCTGAAGCTCTCAATCACCAGGAATGGTGAAGCTCGGGCTGTTTTTTAGACATCTTGAATACATTTGACAGTGTTATTTGGCATACCAGTCTTCTTCAAAAGTTGAAAGGTTATGATATTCCTGGATTAATTTTTTAACTGATTCAATCTTTCTCATCAAATTATGAAATGATAGTTGTGCTGAATGGTCATTATTTACTCCTCTCTGACTGGTTTGGCAGTTTAACTCAAAAGTTACCTAAATTTCCATTTAAATGAGGAAGGGCTTGTTCATTTTAATGCCTCCAAAACAAAATTGCTTTCTGTTTACTCATCTTTGAGACCACTTTCTGCATTCCATCAGCATGGCTGAGGCTAACTTCCAGGGGAGTGATTTGTTGGAACTTATCGGGCTAACATTCTATGCTGACATGAGCTGGAAAGATTATACTGAATCATTTGCTAGGTCTGGTACTAGGAAAGTTGGTTCACTGTGTCATGCTAGACAATTTTTCTTTCCAGAATGTGTCATATGTATTTATAAGTCTACCATTCATTGAATGCTTTGAATATTGTTGCCACCTATGTTCAAAAATCTCTAAATATATAGTAGGAACTATATATTTAGAGATTTTTGATAAAATCTAAAGAAGGATATGCAATGTTATTTGTCCTGATTATTTTACAGTTGAATTGGCTAGATTCTCGACTATGTTTCTTTTCTCATACTTCTTGTCCATGGAACTCTCTTCTAGCTTCTTCCTTTCCAGCCAACTTTGATTTTCAAAAATGCAATGTCAATCAGTATTTACTATCTTCTTGATACATCTTCTTTTATTCTCCTTAATAATCTTTTTTCTGTTTCTTATTCTTTCACGATCAGTAACCTCTTGTGTCTTAGTGGCTTTATTGTCTTGTGACAGAGAGAGATTCTGTGAAACACACACACGCACGCGCACACATACGTATATTTTTTTAGTGAAATTGGAGTAGATTTGAATAGCGAAATGAAATCAGAGCATTTTGTTTACTAATGGGGAAATCTTATCAAGGGCAGATGTTGTACTCATTGAATCTGGGTCATCAGGAGACAATGTAAATGGTGGAGATAATTTTTATCGATTAAAAATTGAAATAGAGCTGAGTAAACTAGAATGATCTTTGGAATTTACATGATTTTGGTTGAAGCAGCCAGAACCCCGTGATAATCGCGTGCGAAGTAGTAGGGCCGAGGGTCAGTTATAACCAGTCGGGTTTATCTATATAAACGTGTAGTTAAGCAAAAAAAGACAGACGGGAGAAGATTCTTGAAGGGAGAAGAGAGAATTGGCCCGGGCGAGCGTTGGGAGGAGGAACGCCACTATAACTTTAAGCTCCGCACAGAAATCTTTATCCCTACATCGCAAGAGTCATATGTCATTCTGAGACGATTTGACAACAACATAATCACATACTCTCTCTCTCTCTCTCTCTCTCTCTAGAATCCAGTGTATGAGTTTTTTTTTTTTTCTACTTTTTCTATTCTCTACTATTCTTTTCTGCTATATAAAAGACATTACCAATTCAACCATTGAATCGATGTTTATCCGGCTTTCTGCAGATATTAATTTTTTCTTTTTGCTGCATTCTAAATTTCTTAGTTGTAGACTCTCCAGCCGTGTCTACATCTTCAGTCGACCGTGAATAGACGGACATCACTTCTGCTTTCTGCATCAAACAAATCACAACGTGGGCAGGAAGCAGAATTAAACCAGCGGACCGGTCGAATAATCTACGGATGCTCAGGGGACCTATGGCCACTCCCTTAAGTTCGGTTAGGACCGAGTAGACACCTCAACCCCGAGAGTAAGACGCCGGAGGTTTAGGGGGCGGGGCGAAAGTGTTAGACTGGTGCCTGTGACCAGGATTCGAACCTGGGTTAGCACGGCCGTCTGAAAGAGAAGAGAAGGTTGCATTTGTTTTGTCCAGTCGGGACCGCGTAAGACCAGAAAGGACTCTAGTCTTCGGACTATATTGGTCTGAAAGAGACATAAGAAGGAAAAGAGAAGGAAGCAAAAGAAGGAGGAAAAAGAAACAAAACACGGAGCGGCGGACCTCAGGTAAGTCACTTTTTGGTTTCCTTTGTTCGTTCATTGCACTTAGATCTGCCATCTTGTTGATCTTGTTTTGACTTTGTCGACTTTGTACACAGTTGAAGCGCCGCCACCGTGTTAAGTATTTTTTCTTTTCATTCTGTCGTTGATCTCTCTTCTCGTGGGAAAGTAGTAGTCGACAAGACGCTAGAATGAGTGTAGCAGGATCAGACGCCACAGATGACCTTGGGGACGTGGAAGTCCCCGAAATATCGATGGGTTTCAGGAGGCTGATAGGCAGCATGATGCTACCTACTTATAAAGGAAACCCTGCAGACATGCACGAATGGATTCTGTCCATTCAGAAGAAGCAGGGTATCTATGGTCTCTCGGACCAAGAAATGGTGCTCCTAGCTTACGACGCCACAGCGGGGCAGGTATCCAAGTTCATAGGTGGGTGGTACAAAGAAAACCCGGCCCTGACGTGGACCGAGCTTAAATCCGCTTTGTGTAATATGGATGCGCTGAGTGACAGGGACCTGAGGGGCGATGTTCTGAAGAGGGGACCGATCAGCCTGGCTGCAGCCAGAGACCTATGGCATTTGCCATGCCAGATAAGAAGGCACGAACGGTGTCAGATATAATACTGAACGAAATATTCCCTAGGTACGGGCCCATAAACAGTTGGTTACCGATAATGGATCGGAGAACGTGAATCAGATTATGAGAGAGACGTTGGGAGAATTAAACATACAGCACATAACCATCTCTCCATATCACCCCCAAAGTAACGCTAAGGTAGAAAGATTTCATAAGACCCTCGCTGACGTGTTAGCTAAACTAACAGAGGATAATAGGGAAAATTGGGATTTATTCCTAAACCAAGCGTTGTGAGATTCTCGATGAACGAGACGACAAAATTTTCCCCTTATTACTTTATATATGGCAGGGATGTAGTCTTGTTGCGGACCCGGTAGCGTGCAGTGCTGGTTTATTATAAAGTGGCCTTGTGCCAGACACTACACAAAACTACCGAATCCACAAACAAAGTAGAAATATATTGCGTGAGTGAACTTAGTGAGGAAAAGGGGTCAATCAACAAGTGCATAAATAATAATACAAGTAGATAGCCGGAATTAAATGACAAAAGGCGTCTGGTTGAAAAACATATATGAAATTTTATTATATTTAAACAAGTAATTGTCTTGACAGTTGAGACCATTAGTAAAAGTGTTCCGCGCCAAAACAGAAAACCAAGATGGCCAAGGCGGGAAAAAGTTCCATCAGAAAGAAAGTTCTGGAAAAATGACTTGTTAAACGAAAGGTGTATGTGTACACAAATAGGAAAAGTACTCACTGTGAAGTTTGATAGTGTGAGTGTATGTAATATTTTTTAGGTACTGGTTCAAAGTAGTTAGAAGGTTCAAAGGTGTATGAACAGATTATCAACTTTCATTGAGGAGAATTCAGAGTTGTTTGCATCAAGACGAGGTTGAGTCTTGGAATGGTGTAGGGCGACCGTGTTGTAGAACACGGTAGTGAATAGAGGAAAGTTGTAGAACACGGTAGTGAATAGAGGAAAGTTCGAAAGTTGTTTGCATCAAGACGAGGAAAAATGTATATTGACGACGGTGTCGTAGGAACTCGACATTTTCTAGTTGAAAATGGAGAAAAGGTTCAACAAGCTGTTGCATCAAGACGGGGATAAGTCTTGGAAAAATATATATTGACGACGGTGTCGTAGGAACTCGACATTTACTAGTTGAAAACGGAGAAGGTTCAACATGCGGGTTGCATCAAGACAAGGATGGGTCTTGGAAAAATGTAATATCGACATGTTGAAGCTTTAGTTAGTTAAGAATAAGATATTCCGGCCCGCGTATGGGTTAGGGGCACGGAATAAATGAGTTGTCCCTCTCGCTTGAAAATCGGGATGCAACTGAGTTGGAAACGCTGGGCGTCTGTGACATCAAGAAACGCGCGGAAAAAAAATTCAAAATCCGTCCTAGACAGCTATCAGGAGTAGCCAGCAAGGTCGAAATCGACAACAAAAGGATGGCTACTGCTATGTCTAATTGAACGAGAGAGGAAGGGGTGCAAACCGCGCGCGCGCACATACGCACACGTGTGGTAGGAAGGGAGGAAAACTCGCGCGCGCGTAAAATGTAGGTGGAATTACTGTGTTATTTCACAGTCTTATCTATAGGCAATCTGTTACGACCTAGGAGGAAGTATTTAGGAGAGGATCATCACGAAATAGTTTTAGAACAACAGCATAAAATTTTTTCGCAGGTGAGGAGGAGGATTCAAAGAGCCCAGAAAAGGAGAAACGATAGGGTAAATAAAAATAGAGAAATAGGAAAATGAAAAGGAGCCGAAACAAAAACAACGGGAAAAGCTGAACCGAAGGGTTAGAGACTGAGAGTGAAAGTGAAGGAAGTGAGGAGATTGGAATTAGCCCAACTACCCTTCGATGGCTGAGGGAGGTAAATCGGACCCCAGCGGGACATTCTGAGAAAGCAGGGATTGAGCCTCTCAGAGAAGAAGAACTGAGTGAATGGGAAGAAGAGGGTGAAATTCCATTAGCTCAATTGCAGAGTAAATTGCGGGCTGAAAAAGCACCAAGTGTTAATGAGGAATTACCACTAAAACTGCGATTAAGGGGGGGGGGTGCAGCCCGAGCCCAAAGATTAAGTGAAACCAATACAGTGGCTGTGGTGAATGGGTGACGGTCTAGGACGAACTGTGCATTTGTCATCGGTGCTGGTGAACTGTGTGGACGGGCCCCATGCATGCACGGCGCTGGTGGTGGTATGGGTCGGTGTTTGAGGTATCGCTCTAAGATGTAACCACCCGATAAAAACAATAAGAGAATGATTGAGTAAGACGAATTATTCTCTCCATCTCCTTGCAGACATGGACGAGAGGAGGATCGTGGTACTAACGATGCTAGTTGTGGTAGCTAATACCTGGGAACACAGTGAGAATACTGTATTTAAGAAGTCTAGCAAAGTGATTATAACTAGATCAAAGTGGTTGATAACTTTCGTGATAGACCTGCAGCCGTATGAGAAGTTACTGGGTCAGTTGAAGACCGAAGTGGACAAACTAGATACAGCCAGGACACAAGTCACCGGAGAATATTTACAGACTCCGGAATAGCACCGTATACTATACCCCTTAGCTCAGGAATACCTAATACTTGAGAGACAATGGAAGAATATGAGTTACTATTTGAAAGGAATAAAGTTGTTACGGACCAAGCAAAAGAGGGCAATATTACCTATAATGGGAAAGGTATTAAGCGTGTTGTTTTGTACAGTCTCCGAAGAATTTTGACCAATCCGGTGTATGAAAAATACGCAGTTGCTTCATGGGAAATTTGTGGAGCTAACGATGCGTGATCACATCAGAACCTTTAACATGAGAATATTGTCAAACCGCTTCAGAACAGATTACTTGTCCTGCAAGATGAAAACAACTGTCTCACTGCAGCTCACTCCTTTGACCGCTGAATGAAGAGTATCAAATTACGATACTCAACTTGGTGATAATGCTTTTAACACCACGCGGCTGCTGCTATTTCTCTTTGTTATCAGATATTTCCGCAAATTCTTGTGTTGTGAAAAAGAAGTAAAAACTTTTTTATTTTGCAGCACTCATTAATCGCTTTCGATTAACACTACAAACATATAATTTATCATACCATCATATGATACTATTGGGCTCGTCTATTAGCCCAATCTTACCTTATTTGAGTAATGCACTATTCCAACTTTTATTCGTAAATCTAGCCCTCTGATTGGTTCATTTCTACCAATCAGGTCGCCCGCACGTGCACTTCGAAGTTTTGGCGCAAAATCATTTTGGATCCACCCTCGTGATCATGACCTCTTAAAAAGAACCCAAAGCACGTGTGACCAGGGAGATGCAGACCTGGGCAGATCAGCATCAGACCATTTTGTTCGACCGCTCACTCAAGCTTAAAAATGTGACGACTACTACTCACGTCTCGCGAATCGAGACGACAAATCTTTCCCGTTCAATATCTTCTACGAACTTCTTCGTCATTCAAGAATCTGAAACTCTACATTCTCTTTGACCATCTACGATAAATCAGTCAGTCCAGCAAACACAGAGAAACGCTAATCTAATCCACGTCACTTGCGATTATAATTTTCCCGCGCAAACGAAACCACAACTGACTCACCCACAAACTCGACTCGAAGATTACTCTGTGAATACAAAGAACTTCAACTTGCAAGACTTTACTTATCCAAAGTGAATTATTAACGCTAACTACAATTTAAGTAAATACTTTTGAACATATTTCAATTTCATACTTACAGTCAAGGGTAGACTACTTCTGAATGACTCAATTCTAAAAGCATAATAACGGTATTTTAAAGTAAACACTAATTACGAATTCCTATAGACTGTAATACAAATACACCAAGACACTAAAAAACAAACAAAAATCTTCTTTCACCGACAAACATACCAACACAACATGAATAATATCTTGTAAAAATATTTTGTACATAATGTTTGTATTGTATATAAATGCATTTGTTTGAATTGCATACATGTTTTGCCTTGTTCAAGTATTATTTATTGTTGTGGATGAAAGAGAAGATCACGCAACCTGATAAAAAAAATTCCTTCTGATATATTAAAAATCTTAGTTCATTCTGCGCATCCCCAACAATACCACAGAATTATAATGACTCCCCGAAGTGTATAAAAAAAAACATCTTATTCACCACACCATTTGTAAAAAAATTAACGTTCAAAAAATAAACAAGAAACCAAAAGAAGCCACACTTTTAGCCACACGTACAAAAAATAAACAAAACAAAACAAAAACTTGACTTTGGAATTCCCGTCGTTAAAAAAAAATTAACCCAAGCAAAGGAGCAAAAAAAAAAAAAAACAGAAAAGAAAAGAAAAAAAAAACAAGTAAGCATCTCTTGTTTATGCACTTTTTTGACTGGCATACACTCAAGATGGAACGAGACAACATAGTTCCAGAACTTATGAAAATACAATGAAATGGCTGGTTCGCAAAATTTCAAACGTTTGCCAATCTGTATAACATTATCACCCACAAATAAACGGAATAATAGAGCACCAACATAAAAAGCACTATTATGGTTAAAAAAAAAAGAAAAAAATGAACTGGATAAACGCCCCAACAAATTAAAATGAAAACTGTACCTATCGCTGTCACTGGAATCCAAATACAACCTCTAAAACCGCTAATAGAACCTAAACAGTTCTACCGCTACTAAAAATTTTTAAAAA